ACTCGCCGTAACCGAAATTGCAGAACCCACCATTGCTCCCGGTAGCTACAAATAACAAATGCCCCTTTACTAAGACTCCTCACCCCAAGCTGACAATGCATGGATGAGATATAATTACTTGACTAATCTGTCAACAAAGGTCAGTGGCAACTCAAAGTTTGGTTTTTATCAACTATAGATGAAAAGGAGGTGCCCATAAATCCACCTTATGCTACGATCGAGACGCTCTAAAGCCTTCAACAGCACCTCATATTGCCTGATGCCGTTGTCCGTCACCGTTCTGCCAGTCAGACTGGCAAGAAGAAGGCCCAAAGCCAAGTGTTGACAAGCTCTAAATGCGAGTCAAGCTGTGTTACAAAGGCCGTTTGGTAGCAGTTACTGTAGTTCCATCAATTCTTTTATTATTTTCAAATCGTCACTCTTTGACAATTATGGGTGAATTTTACGATAGCCAAGAATGCTTAAAAGGTTACTCTACACCTGGTCAATGTGTAGAGGATTTTAAATTCTCTACTGGTGCTAAAGTGACCTTCGTAAGTGCTTGGTACTAGGAGAGAGAAGGTCGATTTTATGAATATTTTTAAATCCTATTTCTAGCCTGACATTGAAGTCTACCGCGCAGCGTGATCAAATCACACAAAGACGTGTGACTTCATCCATCCACCATTGCTTGTCAGTCAAACGAAGGGCATAAGTTCTGAAAGCGTGAATGTCGACTCCGTAGATGACATCAAATCTACAACACGGCTCTGATGTACGCACTTGCAAAGCCATAAGCGCCCTAGGGTGAAGAGGTTCTAAGGCAAAGGTACGTAAATTCGCAACTGGTCATATAGTCATTGTGTCCCTTTGGTTCATCACCACAGTGGCAATCCTTGGGAGCGTTTCAGCGGTGGGTAGAAAAGTCAACCCAGAACGATAAAAACCACAAGCTTAATCATAGGGTTGTTCCATTCCGTGGGAAAGATGCACAAATCACCCATTGGCATTATTAATCTCCATAAGTTGGCTAACACTAGGCGGGGCAATGGACGTTTGAAACTCCATCCAAGGTCCAAACCTAGTGGTTCAGTGGCAAAAATGAGTATGTCTTTGATCACCAGCAACATGTTTCCATATTGAATCACAGGCTTCAGTTTAATGTAAGCATCTACTTATGTGAGAATTAAGTAGACTTACCACAGCAGAGAAGATGAGCCCAAAGTTAGCGGCAAAGTACTCCTGGCCAAAGAGTTTGCGCACCGCGTAAGGAGTGAGGACAAATAGACCAGCGATGCAAATGAAGAGGAGGATGACGAGGATTGCAAATAAGTATATCCCCACGTTGGGAACGTGAGGTGAAAAAGGCAGTACAAGGAAGAGCAAAGACCAGATGGCGTACACAACTGCAAGAAGAGTCTGCAAAGACAATGCAACAAAAACTATTATTGCTAATACTTCGCTTAATCATTTGCCATGAATGTCAGTTCGTTTGAGAAACAAAAGTGTGTTGCTGAAAAGTGCATTCAGAGTTCATTTTTAATCTTGTTAATTCTACCAATTTGAGGACGATATAAGGACTCTTTCCTTGCAATTTCCTTGGTAAGCAATAGTTTAGACGTATCACTTTTCAGTGTCATCTCAATTCGGCACGCCCTTCCTCTAAATGAAGACTTCATTAGGACTTTTGAAATGAATGACAACACGAGTGTGGCTTTAAATTTTTTAAATTCACGCTTGCCTTGTAAAAAATCCGATCAGCCAATTCGCCCCACATCAGCCGGCCTAGCATGTTGGCCACTGAGCTAAGCGTCCCCACAGCTGTCAAGAAACGGTCGTTTTTTATCTCCTTCTGGCCTATTATCTGAGGGAAAAAAGGGGAAAGTTGTAATCACACGTGAGATGTTAGCAAGATTCTTGACGCTACAGTCCTCACTTGAGGAGTAAAGGGTTTTATTTGCATTACCTTGTACAGCGACATTATCATAACCACAGGGAAAATTCCACAGAGCATTGTGAGCCATAAAACGTAGAAATCCACCGTCCGCAACACCCTTATCGGTTGAAAACTTTCGATTCTAAAACGAAAAAAAAGTACACAGCCTGCTTGCACTTCATTTTTGACCCACTCTTCTAATCTTAACAAATTTGAAGGCTGAGGTATTGGATCATAATGAAATCCCATTAGTGAGTAAACACCTCCAGTCTCTTTTACATGAGCAATTGTTGTCGACACTGGAATCAATCATCACAGCAAAAATAACAAATGATTTTGGGTACCACCGAACCACTTACTCGCCTGTTTCATTCAATACATCGTCCGCTGAAACCAACTAAAACGAAAATGAAAGCAGATTGACTCGAGTTGTAATTGCTAGACGAAGAATCTCCTTGTGAAAGCAAGTATATGGAGAGTTGGATCAGATGTTGAAATTAGGTTTCAATCTGCCATTATTTTTAACTTAAGGTAAGTAAGTTGAATTGATTCTTTCAAACGTCTTAAAGCATGAGTGTACGCTTGGAAATGTGATGAAATTTCTTTGTTGTTAACTTTAACCAGGCGAAAAGTTAACAACTGACTAATGCAAATAGACTTGAATGGTTGGGAAAAGTTCTCACAAGGACATAGGATCCAACCTTTATCATGTTTTTAATCGCACGATAATTGAAAGAATGCTGCCAAAGCCTAAATTGGAAGCCATTGTGCACAAAGTTACCAATTTCTATAAGGAAATGATAATTTAAAAACAAGCTTAGCCATAG